TGGACCTTGGCGTGGGCCGGGTACCCCACTTGTTCGAGGTTACATCCCACCAGCCAACTGCTTTTTGCCTTTGAATGGAAGGACTCTGACACGTGCAGAACTGGGCAGCTCATCTGGATCCGACTGTCCCAAGGGTTTAAAATTCCCCAACAATGGCCAGGGAAGTAAGAGAATTTCTGGGGGACATCTGGGTTTTACAGGCTGACTAAGGAAAAATTCTCCTGGACCCCAGAGCATCAGGAGACATTTGATGCCATTAAGAAGGCCCAGTTGAAAGCACCCGCTCTAAGCCTTTTGATGTAACTAACTTTTTACCCTTTATGTGGACAAGCATAAGGGGGTTGCCTGGGGAGTTTTGACCAAATCCCTAAGGGCCGTGGAACAGACCAGTGGCTTATCTGCCAAAGAAGCTTGATCCTGTAGCCAGGGGAGGGCCTGGCTGTCTAAAAGCTATCGCTGCTGACAAGTTGACTTTGGGGCATAAAGCAACTATAATAGCCCCCATGCATTGGAGAGCATTGTCCGGCAGCCGCCGACTGATGATGACCAACGCCCGTGTGACTCACCACCAAAGCCTGCTTCTCACTGAGAGACTGAGCGGATTGTGTTCGCTCCACCAGCCAGCCTCATCCTGCCACTCTTCTGCCTGAGGAAACTGGTGAACCAAGGACTCCTGACTGCCATCAATTTTTGTTGGTTAAAGAGACTGGAGTTTGCAAAGTTCTTAAGGACATCCTGCTGGCTGGGGAGCTGTTGACCAGTTAGTTCACTGCTGGGAGCTGTTACATTGTAAAAGGTAAAAAAGAAAAAAAAAAAGGGCTGGGGCGGTGGTACTGCTAGACAAAGAGAAGTCCATAAACATTAACAGGCAGCACTTACGCTTTTTCATCTGTTCATGTGCATGGGCCTGTCTCAACCGTGTGGCTAAAAAATGACTGAAAAAAAATTTTCCGAAGATTTAAAATACCTAAAGTAGTAAAATCAGACAATGGTCCAGTTTTTGTTGCCCAGGTAGGTCAGTCACTGGCCAAGATATTGGGGATTGATTAAAATTGCATTGTGCATACAGACCCCAAAGCTCAGGTAGAAAGCATAAATAAAACCATTGAGGAGACCTTCACTAAATTGACCTCGGAGACTGGCGTTAATGATCAGATAGCTCTCCTACCCTTTATGCTTTTCAGGGTTAGAAACACCCCTGGACTGTTTGGGCTGAGCCCCTGTAAATGGCTCTGTGGGGGCCCTCCACTTGTGGAAATTACCTCTGTACATAGTGCTGATGTGCTGTTTTAAGCCTCTGTTTGCTAGGCTTAAGGTGCTCGAGTGGGTGAGACAGTGAGCGTGGAAGCAACTCTGAGAGACCTACGTGGTGGGAGACTTGGAAGTTTCATATCACTTCCAAGTTGGTGATCCAGATTACATTAGATGTCACCACAAGGAAACCTTGAGACTGGGTCCTCCTCCTCTGGACCCACCCCCACGCCACTCCAGGTTATAGGATCCAGGGACAGCCTCTTACAACTGCCCATTTTTATTTCTCTCTTGTTGCTTACTATTGGAAAAATTGTTACTTTTGTTATGACTTTTGTTACCAGTGCTGTCCAGATTATGGTGCTTAGATAGCAGTACAGGAGCCTCCGGAGCCAAGAGGAGGCTGCTTCTTAATTTCCATAGTTATAAGATTAGAACTATTGACAAGAGAAAAAGGGGGGAATGAAAGACCTAAAAAGTAATGTTAATGATGGACTAACCTAGAAACCAATATCTGTTCCTTGGAATATGCTAGCTTCCTCTCACAAGGCCCTGAGATAAGAAGAATTCACACTGCCCCTCCTTTCCTGTGAGTCAACAGGTGGTAAACAGGGTCAAGAGATAGCTGTAACTCTGGTTTGCCCAGACAAGATTAATTAGCACACCCTGAGGCCCTAAGGTCTGCTGACCCTAATAGCAGACCATCCGGCCTCCAAGGGTCACGTACTCAATGGACAGAGGGTCCCACCCCCCTCCCTAAGCTTGTGGGGTTGCCTTTAAAAACACCTGTGCCGGGGGAGGGGGCTTCTCCCTAGCCTGCGTGCTGGAGGAGCCCGTTTGCGCAAACGTTTCCTGTTCATTAAAGCCTCTTGCGTTTTGCAGCAACTGGACTGGACATTGAGTTCTTGGGGTATCGACCGAACCTGGAAGACTCTTCATTCTGAGGGTCTTACAGAGGCACACAGGCAAATGGTGGTTTATGAAGATAAGGTGAAGCCCCATGTTAGGATGTTTAATTTTAATTGGACAGGTTAGTTAGCCTCAGGAGGAGTCGATGAAATCTAAGGATTTTTTTTTTTTTTTTTAAGGAGCAGGGGGTTGGGGCAGAGACACAGACAGAGGGTATGGAAGAGTGCAGAGAATCATACAGACTGAGATGTAGAGAGTTATAGAGAGTTATAAAACAAGACGTATCTACTTGCCTTGGATGTTTCCAATCAAACCGGAAAATAGTGTGGGATATTTAACAAACCATGCAGAGGATGCCTTGTCTCCAGTGACAAGTTTTAGATGGGATAACTAGAACTTCCCAGTTTAATTATGTGATCTTGAATTTTTGTAAACAAGCCAGAAGTTCAGGCAGCCTCATTCAGAAAGGTAAAGGGAGACACAGATTTTTAGTATAAAATAGGAGAAGCAGGTAAAGAAGTAGTGTGTGAATGTTGGGGAATCACTATTTGAATTTGCAAATCAGAGGAAAGAGTTTGACAGCCCGCAGGTAGTCTTGTCAGCATATTTAAATAATGCTCTGAGCTTTAGAACAAGTTAACTATTTGGTTCCCAGTGAGTCACAGCAAGAAAACCTTTCGGAACAGGCAAGTACCTGAACTGCCAGTCAGTAAAACTGTGAGAGTGTGCAAACTTCATTGACCCTTGTTTACTTTCTCATGTGGTCTTGTTGAATTATTAGTTAGACATAACAAAGAATTAGGATTGTAGTGTTTTGATGTTTCTTTATTAGACCCCAAGTGAAATAGCAGCAGAGCTGACCTTTTAAGGGTGGGAGCAGACTCCAAAGTCTGTCTTTGTCAGTCTTTGAGTCTGACTCACAGGTTTATTTTCTGAGGTTAAGTTTTTTTTATGTCTGATTTGTCACTATCATCTTTTGAGCTATTGGTCTGAACAACTTCCTGTTGTATTGTAGATTTTGTTAGGCTTCTAGTAAGAGAAAAAATTACATAAAGAGAGCATACAAGAAGGGTTGGGAGGAAAAATCACTCATCCTTAACAAAACATTCATGTCCTTAGAACCAGTAAACCAGTAGCATTCTGCTGGTGAGGACTCTGAGAAGCCACCAATTTAGCAGTGTCTCTGGAACACTTGCAGAAGGGACCTTTTGGAGTGCCCTGAGTGGAGGTTAGGGATTTTTTTTTTTTTTTTTTTTTAACTCACCACCCTGTGAGGCTCTGGCTCCTTGGGTTCTGTAGCAACCTTCTTGGTGAGATCTTGCTGTAGCTGACTGATTAGGGAGTGTTGTTCTTTTGCTGCAGCTAATGCCTAAGAAACACAAACACGAGACTCAGCGCCCACATGGAGTTTATTGAGAGAAGGGAGAGAAAGGGGATAGCTGGTGGCCAACGGAAAGCAGGAGAGAGAGAGCAGGAGGGGGCAAGAGAGAAACCAGAGAGAGACCAGAAAGAGCGACACACTTGGCACTTGGCACGCTTGCTTTAAAAAGGGGCTTGCCTATGCTTAATTGAGTCCTCTGGCAGCCAGGTAAGGCTGAAGTAGCGATGACACACCATAGCGATGACACGCCATGACGGGCCTGCCCATCCCGCCCATCGTCAGGGTGGGGGTCAGCTGGCTGCCAGTTCCTAACAGGGAGACCTCAAATTTCTCCCAGAAAGGGCTGTCTCTGCTAGGACAGTTTTTGAAAATTACCTTTCTGTCCTTGTTTGGACACCAGAATATCGAGGTTTATTGGGTAACCAGCCACCATCCACAGCTATGAAGCTTTTTAAAAAACAATTAAAAAAAAAAAGGGGGGGGGTGTCCAACGTTGTGTTGTGCACCTTAAATCTCCACACTAGGGAAGCAGAGGCCACATACTTGTGTGAGTTAAGGCCAGCCTGGTCTACATAGGGAGTTTTAGGACTGCCAAAGTTACACAGGGACTCTATCTTACACACATATAAGCTCGGATGGAAAGGTATTCTGGCACTCAGGAGCCCAGGAAATCCACAGTCACGGTAAGTGTAGCAGCTTACAGCACGGCTCCTGGGAAAGGCTTCCCTCGTGTATCAGCTCTGTTCCAGCGAAGTTGTTCTCAGGTCCCCTGGAGTGTAACAACTCCTCTAAGAAAAGGTTTTCCTGGTGAAAGCTTTATCTCCCTGTTTTACTCTGCCCAGGCTCCTTCTCTGCTCAGGCAAAGGAAGGTCTCACCCAAACCTCATTCAAGGGATTTATTGGGGCCAGGCGATGGTGGCACATGCCTTTAGTCCTAGCACTAGGGAGGGCAGAGGCAGGTGGATCTCTGAGTTCGAGGCCAGCCTGGTCAACAGAGCCAGGACAGGCTCCAAAGCTACAGAGAAAAACAAAAAAAAAAAAAAAAAAAAAAAAAAGGAAAGAAAAAAAGAAATCTATTGGGAGGGAGTTAAGAGTCTAGGACAGTGGCTGCCTGTGACAAGAAGACAGCTGCAAACGGAACAGGTGCAGCAGGGTTTCTTAGGGGCTGTATTTTTTTTTCCAGGGAGAAAGTTTTCAGGGTGGAGATTGGTCAGATTTCAGTCCCTTGAGCTCAGACTGTCTGAGATTGGTTCGTTTTCCTGCTCAGGGATTGGTTGGTTTTCTGCTTAGTTGATAAGAAAGAAAAAAGAAGGAAAGGCGAGACAGCGCACAGAAAAGCGCCTGCTCCAACTAGAACTACAATTCCCAGCGAACCCCGTTCCTAGTCCTATGACTGGCTTCTCAAGCTGCTCATCAACAGGGTTCCGTCTCTATTGGTCAAGATCCCCGATGCTTCCCCGCCTCCAGCCTTGTACATGGGTGCGCTCGGGGAGCTGACATGGTGAGCAGGCCCTGAGGGGTCCCACCCCGGACGCGTGGGGTCCTGCGGTGTGGAGGTGGAGGGCGGGTGGAAGTGGGGTGTAGTCGGTGGTGGAGGACATGTCGAGGTGAAGCAAGGAGTGCTGGGAGGACAGGCGAGTGCCACCATGCACGGTTTTCCGTTTTTTTATTTTTAAAAGATTCTTTTCATTATTTTATTATATTTGTTTATTAAGTGTGGATGTTTTGTACGTATGTCTGTGCACCACTTGAGTATCTGCTGTCCTTAGAGGTCAGAGAAGGTTGTAGGATTTCCTGGGACTGGAGTTAGCTGCCCAATGGGTACTGGGAATTGAACCCCTGTCCTCTGGAAGAGCAGCCAGTGATCTTAACCACTGAGTCATCTCTCCAGTCCCCCCCCCCTTTTTTAGGCCCTGTTTAAAAAGCTTTCTTAGATGGGTGATGGTGGCACCTTTAATTAAAGGTGGTGCCTTTAATTCCAGCATTCAGAAGGCAGGGGCAGGCAAATATATGAGGTAGAGGCCAACTTGGTCTACAAAGTGAGTTCCAGAGCTACACAGAGAAACCCTGTCTCAAAAAACAAACAAACAAACAAACAAACCCCAAAATTGTTATTTAGGAAGGATCTTACGATGTAGCCTTGGCTGGCCTGAAACTCACTCTGTAGACCAGGTTGGCCTCAAACTCAGAGATGAAGTCTAGTCATCTCAGGGTGGGTGGGACTCCAAGATGAACTCTGGCATCATCCCAGGTGTCTTCTGAGAGATGCCACCAGAGCCAGGGGGACCCCTCTCTGTCCACCTACTTCCCTACAAATAGCTTGAGAGCTTTCGACTTTCCTCAGGCTGTCCTGGGAGTGCAGCTGGTGGTGACCCTGTTCACAGCTACCCTCATGCACAGGCTGGCCCCACACTTCTCCTTTGCCCGCTGGCTGCTCTGCAATGGCAGGTAAGCCCTGTCCCACTGACTGTGGGTGCCCAGGCCCTCCTGGTGTATGCTTCCTCCTCCACCTTTTTTTTTTTTTTTTTAAGACTTTTGTTACTTTTAACTATATGTAGGAGTATGTCTCCACATGTGGGGTTGTGCACCTGAGTGCAGGTGCTTGGGGAGGCCAATGGCATTGGAGTTAGAAGGACAGGCAGTTGAGAGCCTGCCTCTTTCTCCCGGGTGCTGGGATATAAAGTCTGTACCACCATGCCCTTTAAAGTACAACTTGGATCTGTCTTGACAAAAGGGCCACACATCTCCCCTCTCCCCTCCTGGCTTTTTGTAACGCAGCTCTCTCCTGTTTGCACTGCTTGGTGTCTGGCCCCTTCTGAGGATTCTGCTCTTAGAAGAATGCATGGGCCCCAGGAGAGTCAGATCACATGTTAAAGGGTATCCTGAGGCTGGATCAGTTCCCCCATCTCTTGTCCCCAGAATTCCCCTGGCTGTTCCCCAGCACCCTGGGCCACCTTCCCACAGGGCCACCGCTGTGGCAAAGCTGCCCAGTGCTCTGTCCTCAAGACCAGATTTGGGTTCTTCGTCCCCAGGCCAAGCTTTTCTGACTTTTTTTCCTCCTCAGTCTGTTCCGATACATACGCCCGTCTGAGGATGAACTAAGGGTGCTAGCAGGGAAACCAAGGCCCAGAGGCAGGAAGGAACGGTGAGTGGTCCCCATTTGACTCCACGAGGCCCAGGTAGGGTAACAGGCCTCACACCTGCCCAAGGTGCAGTGCTGGATGCAGGTAGCTGCAGTGAGCATTATGTATTCCTGGCTGTTTCTTCTGGGTTGGCCCTGTGCCTAGGCTGCCCTACACCTGATGTGGCTGAAGGTCTTTCCTAGGCAGCACCACCGAGTTCTCTGGTGGGCTCAGAGGAGATAGCTACACCTCACCTTTCACTGTCCCCCATGCTCAGGTGGGCAAATGGCCTTCATGATGAGAAGCCATTGTCATTGCCTCGAGATGCCCCTTTGCAGATGGCGACTTGTCCCCTCACTGCTGTGGATGCCCTAGGTAATGAGCAGCCCACTCCCCTCCCCGGCTGCTGAGGCCACCCTGCCCAGGGGTGGAGGGTGGGGTGGAGTTGGGACAGGCAAACCTGGAGCGTGGCTGAGCTCCTGTCCCGCAGGCCTGCGCTTCTTTCTGGAATACCAGTGGTTCGTGGATTTCGCTGTGTACTCTGTTGGTGTGTACCTCTTCTCTGAGGCCTACTATTTGGTGCTGGGCCAGGTCCAGGAGGCCAACATCGCTGTGTTCTGGTGCCTGCTCACATTGGCCTTCTCTCTGTATCCTTCCTCTGGGTTTCAGCATGTGAGGCGTGGGACTCAGGCTGAGCTTCCCTGTCCCTCTAATTTGTTGTCTATTGGGTCACCCACTACACCACAAACCTGCCGCAGAGTTAGACGTATGTAGGCCAGCACGGTCTCAAACTCCTGGCTCACCCTCTGAGTGCTGGAGTTACAGGTGTGTGTCACCATACTCTACATATAGTCTGCTTTTCTTGGATTGGCCCCACTGGGGGGATTCCTGTCCCTCTTGGTCTATAGAATTGGGAAAACCAGCTTGTTGGCAGTTGACCCATCTCTTTTGTTTGTTTGGTTTGGTTTTTTGAGACAGGGTTTTTCTGTGTAGCCCTGGCTGCCCTGGAACTTATTCTGTAGACCAGGCTGGCCTCAAACTCAGACCTACCAGCCTCTGCCTCTCAAGTTATGGGATTAAAGATGTGAATCACCACTGCCAGGTCTATCTTTTTATCTGAACCTTCTAGCATATTCTTTGCATTAAAAAAATTGTCACCAGGACAGCTTGGTGCTGGGAAAGACCTGTTCTGCATTGAGAGTAGAGGCCCAGGGATGCTGGGGAACCATGGGGATCACCTGGCCACCAAGTACTCAGGGTGTAGGTCTGCGGGGAAATTTCACAACTGACCCCTAACGTGAGGCTGCATCTTAGGAGAGTTTCAAGGTAACTAATAAAAGCAATGAGTGTCTTGTTCTTAAACACTGTTGCCTAAAAACATGTATGGGGGAGCTAGGTAAGGAAGGAATGGTGGGTTTGGCTGAGCATGCACAAACAGGCCCCTGGGTCCACCCATGAGAGCCTGGGCTTCCATACCCAGCACAGTCCTCCTAAGAGATGGTTTCTGAGTTTTCCATAGCATCAAATGCTTCTCACTGTGTGTGTGGGCTTCTCACTGCCCCTCCTCCCCTAGGCACAGCCCACATAATAATCCCTGATCAGGCACAAGTCATTAGGCCACCTCCAACCAACCAAACACCAGCACCCCAGCTCACCTGATCCTTCACACCAAGTTTAAAATCCAAGCACCCAAGGCCAGTTTCTACAGGTTTGTGTGTGCTCTGGAGTGCAGGATTCATTTTTCATTTCAAGACAGGGCTTCTCTGTGTAGCCCTGGGCTGTCCTGGAGCTAGCTTTGTAGACCAGACTGGTCTCAAACTTAAAGAACCATCTGTCTCTGCCTCCCAAGTGCTGTCCCTGCTTTCTTAACCCCAACCCCAGCAAGGTGTTCCTCATGGTGACCCGACTGTACTTCAGTGCCAAGGAGGGTGGCGAACGCTCAGTGTGTCTCACTTTTGCCTTCCTCGTCCTCCTCCTGGCCATGATGGTGCAGGTGGTGCGGGAGGAGACCCTGGAGCTGGGTCTGGAGCCAGGTAGGTGTACTTCCCTGCTTGAGACAAAGAGCACTTTCTGGTTTGTCTTTTTCCCTTCTCTTTTGAGACTGGCTTTGGACTTACAGAGATCCTTCGGCCTCTGCCACCTGCATACTGGGATTAAGATATATGTTGTTACAGGGGCTGGAAAGATGGCTCAGCAATTAATAGCACTGGCTGTTCATCCTGAGGACTTGTGTTCAATTCCTAGCATCCACATGGCAGCTCACAGCTGTCTGTAACTCCAGTTCCAGAACACCCAACACCTTCATGTAGATAAAACACCAATGCACATAAGTTTAAAAAAGATTTATGTTATTACTGTTTTTAAAGATTTATTTTTATTCCATATGTATGGGTGCTTTGCCATCCTATGTGTTATCAGGATTGTGAAGTACCTGCAAAGGCCAGAAGAGGGCACTAGACCCACAGAACTGGAGTTACTTAGGCTGTGAGCCACTGTGTGGGTCTTGGGATGAGAACCTGGGTCCCATGAAAGAGTAGCAAGCACCGGTAACTTCTGAGCCATCTACCTGTTCCCTGTTTTTGTTTATTTCTAAGGTTTACTTATTTCTGTATATGAGAGCATACCAGAAGGAATCAGATATCATTATAGATGGTTATGAGCCACCAATGGGTACTGGGAGTTGAACTCAGGACTCTGGAAGAGCAGCCAGTGCCTTCTTTGAGTCAACTCTCCTGCCCTAGGTTCTATTTCTTGAGGAGTCCCACACAGTCTGGGCCTGGCAGTTCTCTGTATGGCTCAGTGACAGGGCACAGCACGTGGAGGATCTGGATTACACTCTAGCACAGGAAAATACAGTTAAAATAGATTGCGGGGCTGGAGAGATGGCTTAGTGGTAAGAGCACGGGCTGCTCTCAAAGAAGAGAAAGGTTCAATTCCTAGCATCTAAATGTAACTCCAGCTCCAGGGGATCTGATGCCCTCTTCTGACCTGCAACTGGCACCAGGCACACATGTGGCAAACAGATATACATACAGACAAAGCATTCATATACAAAAAGAAATTAGATAAAATAAAATAGGTTGAGTGCTGAGTGGGGCTTGGTCCTCTGCAAGCCCAAGGACCTGAGTTTGGACCATGTCAATTGGCGGCCTGAGACAGGTGGATTCTGGGAGCTGGAAGACCAGCCAACCTTGGAAATCGTAACAATACACACTCTTGATCTTCCTCTAGGTCTGGCCAGCGTGATCCAGAACCTGGAGCCTGTTCTGAAGAAGCAGGGGTGGGACTGGGCGTGAGTCCTGGGACCTGTATCTTGGGGGAAGGTACAGGTAGAGGGAGCACCAGAGCCCCCTCCAGGCTGAGGTCTGAGCAGCCATGACTTCCCTGAGGCCTTCTCTCTTCTCCAGGCTCCCTGTGACCGAGCTGGCCATCCGCCTTGGGCTGGTGGTGCTAGGCTCCTTGTTGGGCGCCTTCCTCATTTTCCCGGGCCTGAGGCTGGCTCAGACCCACCAGGATGCGCTGACCTTAAATGCAGACCGGCCCCTGCTACAGTTAAGCGGGGCTCCCAGGGTAAGGTGGGGGTTGGGGCAAAGGCTGGGGATCAGGAGCCTGGCCCCACTGTGGTGCTCCCCCCTCCCCAGGCTGCTCCTGCACACCAGCTTCCTGTCGCCCCTGTGCACCCTGTGGCTCTGGACAAAGCCTGTCGCCCGTGACTTACTATGCCAGGCACCCAGGAAGAACATGACCTCTTCTTTGTGCGTGTGTCAGGGTGCTAAGGGATTTGGGCTATCTGAGACCGGGAATGAACTGGAAAGATAGTAGTAGCCTGGAGGGAGGGCTCACCCAAACTCCCTGTCTGCTTGGCTCTTGTTGCAGGCCATCAGAAGGGGCCTTCGACTCCCTGCGCCTTTGGGTGCTGGTGGTGCTATGCCTGCTGCGGCTAGTTGTGACCCGGCCACACCTGCAGGCCTACCTGTGCCTGGCTAAGGCTCAAGTGGAGAAGCTTCGCAAGGAGGCCGGCCGCATTGAGGCCAGAGAGATTCAGCAGCGGGTATGCACCAGAGGCAGGACAGTCCCTGGGCTAAGGGGGCCTGGCCTGGTCATGGGGTCCCTATCCTGGGAAGACCACCCCCTCTGCAGCCTCTACTGCCTCCCTGCCAGGTGGTCCGGGTCTACTGCTACGTGACCGTGGTGAGCCTGCAGTACCTGACGCCACTCATCCTCACTCTGCACTGCACACTTCTGCTCAAGACCTTGGGTACGGGGGCTGGTGGAAGACGGCGGGGGCCAGTAGTTGGAGGGTGGGGACAGGCCTGGTAAGGTGGGGTCTTCAGATAAAAGCTTCAAGTAGCTTCTGAGTAAGGACATAACTTGATAAGGATGGGACCAGCTGTAGAAGTGAAGGCAGCATTTGGGCAAGACCACAGACTATTGTCCTGTGGGGACAAGACAAGGTTGGGGGTGGGACCAGCAGGTAGTAGTGTGAGTGGGGCTAGCAGACTGGAGAGGATGGAAGCCCCCCTAAGGTCGGGGGTATAACCTAGTCGGGAGCAGAGTTGTCAGAGCCTCTAGGCTCCCACTATTTTGTCTCTGCTCTTAATTCCCTTCTTCCCTCTTGCAGGTGGCTACTCTTGGGTCCTGGGCCCTGCTCCAACCCCACTGGCTCCACCCAAGTCCTCAGACACTTTGATCTCTGTGAACCCTGTAGAGGATGAAGCTCAGCAGACTGTGGCCCAGGTAGCAGGGGTCCTGGGTGGCCTCCTCACACCCCTCTTCCTCCGTGGCGTGCTTGCCTACCTCATCTGGTGGACTGCTGCCTGCCAGCTGCTCTCCAGCCTCTTTGGTCTCTATTTCCACCAGCACCTGGCAGCTGGCATTTGATCCCTGTCCACCAGGACTGGGACTGTCCCTGTGTGCCTCTGTCCCTAGATGACCTAGGGATAAGGGTGGGGACTCCCATTATCTCTCACCTCAGTGCCTAGATATGGACCTGTTGAGTCAGGCTCCCCTGGGCCTGGAGGCCATGGTCCTCAAATGTGTGCATGTGTGAACAGGGTTTCAGTGGGAGGCTGCTCTCAAAAAAGGGGGTGGGCCACTTTTACAGAATATACCCAAAGGCTGGGGAGATGAGCAGGGAAGACCTGTGCAGTAAGAGGGGCTTTAGGAGAAAGTGGTACTAGGCAAGAATAGAAAGATGGAGTTAGTTGTAGATGGCTAGGAGAAAGCAAGGGGTGGGGCTCAGGCCCAGCACCCACATATCCCTGGGGTCTGTCACTATCCACCAGGAGGGAAAGAGACAAGAGTCACCATGTCCATTTTCCCAGGACACTGGGGAGACTGAGGCAGGAGGATTAGCTTAAACTAGTAACAACACCATGTCTCTAAAACAAACAAACAAATAAATAAAAGGTAGGGAGAGGAATGTCAACTGGAAAGAGAGTGAGAGGAGGGGAGATTGTTGCCACCCTGGAAGCTGTGATGATTGCTGTGATGCATTTCAAGGCCTTGATGACTGAGGGTTACCACCAACTCCAGAGTTGTCCTATTGCTATGTTTGTGCATGTGTGTGTTTGTGAGACATGCAAGGTTGTCATTGACCCTCTTACATATGCAAAATGTATATTGAGAATAAAAAATGGAGGGCTCCTGTAGTACTGCCTGATACTGCCAGTGGTCTGGAGAATGGTCATGTTCAGGAGCCAGTGCTCAGGCATAGCCCCGAGGTCTCCCTCTGGCAAGAAGGCACCTTGTGTCTGTTGGAAGGGGTTTAGGAATGTGATTGTGTGCACACAGGCGCACAGTTGCCATGATGATAGGATCAGAGAATGGCTTAGTATGTAGGCCTTGTCAATCTACCTTGAATCAGGGTCTTTAGATCACCCCAATCCCTCAGGTTAGCTGTTAAACAAGCTTCAGGGACTCTGGTGTCCACTTCTCACCCTGCCATAGGGGTGCTGGCATTATGCTTGTGCTGCTCTGTCCCCCTTATGAACGCAGGTCTTCATAACTGCAGCAAGCATGGCTGAGGTGTGGGTGGGATGAAACTATGGGGTGTCCTTGATCTCTCTGGAGTTTTCCTGCCTCTTGGGACAGATTCTCAAACTGACCCTGACAAGGAACTGTGGGAGCTTGTGAAGTTCCATGGGAATCAAGAATGGGCAAATCAAGGTGGTCTGCCCTGCAGGGGTGCAGAAAGCAGGCAATGCTGGGAAACCGGGGCCCTGCTCTGTAGGACTTGAGAGTGATTTCAGAGTGGAGGGCACACACCCCAGACACATGGCTGACTGGGGGCTGAGCTGTGGGACACAGCCTGTGTCACATAAGCATCTATGAGCAGAAAGATGCACACTTGGAAACTTTCTTAAGGATAACCAGGGGGATGGACTCAGTCAGCACTGGCTGCTTTTGCAGAGGACCCAGGTTCAATTCTAAGCACCACATGGTGGCTCACGATCATCTGATTCTAGTCTCAGGAAATCTGATGTCCTCTTCTGGCCTCCTTAGATACCAGGCATGTACAGGTAGACATACATGCAGGTAAAGCCCCGATACACAAAATATTTAAGAGTGTCAAATAGCCCCACCCCTGTCTCAGGGCTGAAATTCACAGTAGGGGGAAGGGGCCAGAGTTGAAGAGGATGAAAAACAGAAGTTATTTAAATTTTTATTAAATATACTCTCTTGGCACAAATGTTTAAAATATATAAACATTATATATAAACAAAATTTTTCATGGCATCAAAATAGAACTCCAGACTGGACAGTGACCATGGGAAAGGACAGCCACAGAGGTTGAGAGCCCCCAGGCCAGACTACTGGGAGGCACATGGGGAAGCAGATCTGGGACTCCAATACTCTCGTACCCAGCTGGCTGCCCAATGCAGGGCTCTGACCAGCCATCTGCATGGTGTCTCCTGTCCTCTTGACTTCCTGGTGTGGGGTGCCCAGCTTCTCCCCTCCAGTATGCAGGCCAGGCAAGGAACAGAGTAGGCAGTATACTCACAAGATGGGGATGGTCCCTCACAGCCACCACAGGCTGTTGGGGTGCCTGGGGACATGTTGAGGATGGCCTGTTTCCATCTGTGGAGGCAGGGAGATGGCCGAGCATCACAGGTACAAGGTAAGTAAGAAATACAATAACGGGAGGTGGGGGTGGGTTGTCACACGCCTTTAATCCCAGCACTTGGGAGGCAGAGGCAGGCCTGGTCTACAAAGTGAGTTCCAGGACAGCCTCCAAAAGCCACAGAGAAACCCTGTGTCAAGAGGAAGGGGAAAAAAAAAAAAAAAAAAAAAAAAAAAAAAAAAGAAATACAATAATGAGAAGGACTGCAATCCTGGAGTCAAGTCACCCTGCTTAGGCTCCACATGAAATGGCTGCCATCCAGCTGTGGGAAGCAACACCTAGCTCACCTCAGAGCCAGAGGTTTTGTGTGTAACCTGGGCCAGGATAAGGTGAGAACTAGAAACTAGGTACAGGAGGATTGCTGCAAGTTGGAAGCTAGCCCAGGCGACACACTGAGGGACATGCTAGCCAGGACTTGGAGGGTGGGGGGCCTGCCTCAAAGACCCCAAATCAAGAACTCCACACCTCAGGAAAGCATGAAGGCTCTGACATCTTGGGGAGTCTTTGAGATCAGCTGGCTGGTGGACCCAGGTGCCCAAGATACCATTGTGCTCATTCACACAGGCCAATTTTGGGCCTTCATTTGGCCGGGCTGACTGACAGCCTTAGAGGGAACCAGGGACCTACAGAAGGCCCAGAGTTCAGGGTTGGGCAGTTTCAGGAATTTGCACCCCATCTCCAAGAGTGCTATGCAAACAAGAGCCTTTGGGCCTGCATAGTGGCCCAGGTGACATGCTTTGGAAGACATCCCAGGTGAGGGAGACCCACATGGGTATTTCCAGGGGGGTCTGTTCCTGCCCCTCCTGTTGTGGTACCTCCTGGGAAGGTTACAAGCCAGGTAGTTGGCAAAGGTTAGGAGCAGCCCTTAGGAATGGGATGGGTGTAGTGCTCTGGGGAGAAAGCTATGTGGGCAACAGCAGCCATCTTTCACCTAGGAGAGGATGGGCAGGCATGGTGAAGGACTGAGGGACACAGGTACAGCCACCACTGAGCAAGCTGCAACCCTCCAGGGTGTGGTTTTGAGGGAAGGCCTGTCATATCTGCAGGCCAGGCACAGTCTTAGCAAGAAGGGATGGGCTCTGAGCCCAGTGTGCCAGTGGGCACTAGAATCAGTAGCAGGTCAGAAGAGGCAGGGCCAGGAAGTGCAGTTGACCCCTTAGAGGCCTTTGGGTAACTCCTCTGGGAGACTCACCAGCCACTCAAGGAGCTGAAGGGAGGGCACAACCAAGATCCATCATTACAATGTCATACCATGAGGGCCAGCACTTTGCTATGGGCCCCGCAGCCCCAAGCCAGGTCCCACCCTCCTGCCCATCCTTAAGGTACCATCAGGGCTACCAGCATACAGCTGCATGCCCTCCATCCACAAGCTCACCATCCACTGTTGTGTGGGCCTAGCTCTGCAGCCGGTGCAGCAGGATCTGCATGAGGTCGAAAGTGGTAAAGCTGATGCCCACGGCAATCGGGCCCTTCAGCCAGTTCATGCTCAAGCCCTTGTAGAGGCCCCGCACTGCACCCTCCTCACGCACGATGGAGCACAATGTGCTCAGGATGGAGCCATGATGGTGGCCTGTGACACCTGCCGTCTGCATGCGCCGCCGCACCACGTCCAGAGGGTAGGAGGCCGACTGCCCGATAAGGCCGGCACAGGCCCCGAAGACCATACGCTCAAAGGGGTAGGGCTGCGGGCGGCCACTGTACTCTGCAGGGCAGAGGGCACATGAGTGCCACACTTGCAGAGCCTAAGGCCCCACTTCCTGGCCACCTTTTCTCAGTTTTGGTGTGGGGGAATGGCATCAGTGTTCTGCCAATGAGTCACACTCCAGCCTAACATAAGCCATAGTTTTCAACAGTGGTCACCCAGGCTACATGTAGTTCCCCCTCATCTATGAGGCACAGGTCCCCATCCTGCAGTTTTCAGTGCCCTCTCTTCTGTGGAGGTGCATCCCATGACTTCCTTAAGAGTGTAGGGCTGCACAAACATCATCCTCCTAAATGGAGGACATACCTCTGCCTGACTTAATGAACTAATGAGGACTGTAGTGATGTACAGGGACAGCTGTGAGAAGGTGGTCTCCATCCTAGTGTCCTGCTGGACCACTCCATAAAGCAAGTGCCTAGCATAGCCCACACAAAGACAGAAAGGAAGATAAAAGTGTGCTGCTGTGGATTATCAGGTCATGGGGGCCAAGGGGCAGCAAGCACCTGCAGCAGGTAGGCATAGGCTCAATTAACGTGGAATGGACAGGTTCTATTATCAGATGGTGTTCTGTGACAGTCTCACTGGGTAGTTCATGCCATCCTCCTGCCTTAGCCTCCTGAATGGAGGGCAGGCATGAGACACCACACCCAGCTAGACTGAAAAGGTTTTAACATCCTGTATTTGTGCTGTGTGCAGACTTTCTTCTTGTCATTGTTGCCAGCTGAACGCAGTGTGACAGCTGTGCACATAGCATCTCCACATCCAGGCGGCCTGCCTTGCTGCCATGGGTGAGCTGTGGGAGGAGGTGCAGGCTCTACACAAATACCACACCAATGCACAGAAAGGCACAGGGACCATGGACTGGGAACCTTGAGGGGCCAAGAACCACCCCACAGATAGGCCGCTATCTTTCCAACCAATTGAGTTTTTAACACAGGGTCTTGTTATGTAGCACAGGCTGGCCCTGAGCTTGCATCAATGATGTCTCATTCTCCTGAATGCTCAAATCACATGTGCACCCACCCTCCTGGACTCTGAAGCCATTCTAAGAGTGTCACCCAGTCCCAATGAGAGGCATCAACTTACTCAGATTACTCAAAAGTTAACAAAAACACCCAGGGAACTGGGCTGCTGCCTATTTGCAGGGTGTTTCCTTCAATGCAAGAGGCCCGGGGTTTTGGTTTTATCCCTAGCACCTCACAAGATAAGTGTGGGGAGACAGCCTGTGACCCCAGTGCTAGAGATGTGAGGAAGGAGAATGAGGCAGAATTTAAGGTCTTTCTTGGCTGTAAAGCAAACTTGACGCCAGCTTGGGTTACATAGTGAGACCCTTTGTAAATAACTGAATACGAATGAACAGACACATTAAAGGTTACAATCCAGCTCCTGCATTCCAGACACAAGGTGTCTTTAAATTGTGCTCTGGGTCCCTGCCTAGCCTCCTGTGTGGCCCTGGGTGAGGTGGGTCCACAGGGACAGCTCCCTGAAATCCCACCTCTTCTCTCCATCTCTCCTTACCTCGATGCAGGCTCTTCAGTGACTCGTAAGTAAAGAAGCTGAGTCCTGCATAGGGAATGACACCCAGCACAGTGGGTGTGAACCCGAAGTAGAGGGTCTTCAGCCCTTCTTCTCTCGAGATGCGGATGAAGACGTGAAAGATGTTGCTGTACCTGCCGGGACCATGTGATAGGGTTAGTGCCTTCACCCCACTCACTCCCCCTGTCTAGGAGAGTGAGGGCACTCCATGGAGACAGTACTACCTGCTCTGCCAAATACGGGGCTGGTACCAATGCCGAGCATGTGCCAGGCAAGTGTCCTTGCCCCTGAGCTGCTAAGTAGACCAGGCTGGCCTCAAACTCACAGAGACTCTCATTTCTCTGCTTTGGTACTCAGCCCTCCAGCTCTGGTTTTTTGTTTCATTTTGAGACAGGGCCTCACTATACATGCTTGGTTGGCCTAGACTTATCTATGTAGACTAGACTGGCCTCTAACTGATAGAACTCTGCCTATACTTCTGGAATTATAGGTGGCACCACCATACACATACACAACTGGCTCTCTCTCTTAATGTGTATGGGTGTCTTGCCTGCATGTATGAGTGTGTGTGTGTGTGTGTGTGTGTGTGTGTGTGTGTGTGTGTGTGCTGGAAAATAACAGAAGGGGGCATCTGATCTCCTGGAGCTAGAAAGTTATAGATAGCTGTGAGCCACCACATGGGTGGTGGGAATTGGACCCAGGTCTTTGTAAGCAGCCAGTGCTCTTCATTGTTCCTATGGTACTTGTTTATTGCCTTGTTTCTTGAGAGGGGTCTGGATCTGTATCCCAGGCTGAATTGGGAACCCTGATACTACTACCTCAGCCTCCCTAGTGTCTGGGTCACAGGGGTGCCCCTCTGTGCCCAGTTTCTTAACATGGTTTTGGTTGATGTTTTTTTTTTAACATTTAATTATTTACTGTGGAGCAAGGGGTACAAGTGGCATTGTGTACAAATGAATCAGTGGGCAGCTTTTGGGAGTCTGTTCTCTCCATCTTCAAGGGTTGCTGGCCCTTGTGTTTGTTTTTTTAGAGACAGGGTTTCTCTGTGTAACCCTGGCTGTCCTGGAACTCACTCTGTAGACCAGGCTGTCCTCACACTCACAGAGATCCACCCGCCTCTGCCTCCTGAGTGCTGGGATTAAAGGAGTGCACCACCACATTGGCTACCCTTAGGTATTTTTTGTTAATAAATAATGATTTCTAGAACCCTGCAGAGTGTCACTCATTGATGGGACCCTCAGTGAGCACCCCACATAAGCCTCTACTGGTAGCAGCAACACCAGTATAGATCCTATGGCAGAGCTCACATTTCCTTGGGCGTCACAGCCATCCTCGCTCTGACCAGGTCCAGAGGGTAAGTGAGGGAGGCAGCTGTGGTTCCAGCCAGGGCCCCAGCCAGGAGACGGGGCCACGGGGGCAGGGCTCTGTGGACAAGCAGAATAAGTTGAAACTTGGGTAGCATCAGGAGTTGCCCACACCTCAGCCTTCAGGGAGGAAGGGGAGACCCAGGAGGATTCCAAGTGGTTGAGTTTATGGGTTCACTTAGGCCAATGTCAAAGGCATCCTCTGGTCTCCCTGTCTGTAGGAGTGTCTTCCCCAAGGCAGGAGCTACGGGAGCTACGAGCTACGAGCTACATGCTGCCTTGCACCTTTGGAAATCAGATTTGAGTGAGAGTTGAGAAGATAGCACAGGGAAAGGAATGGAGTGTGGGGTGAAAGGTGGGGGTAGGGCTGGGGCCCTATAGGAAGGGTTAGTGAGGGGTGTGGCAAAGAGGAGCCTAAGTGGAGTAATGAGTGGGGCCAGGTGAGGAGGGGCCTTACTCTCCACAGAAGCCATAGTATCGGCCCAGGATGCGCTTGTACTCCTCGTGAGCACTGAACTGGATGGCAGCATATGGAATCACTCGCACCATAGTGGCTGAGTTGCCACGCCATAGGCTGAGGAAGCCCTCATTGAGGTAGGTGAAGTAGAGGAGCCGGAAGGCCTCCTAGGAAGACAGATGAGGGGTTGGCACTCCTTTGCCATCACCAGCCCTGGGCACATTGCAGGCAGCACCATCAAATGCAAAGGGTGGGTGATGGCACCCCTTGCCAGGCCTGCCCAGTTAGTAGCAGCCTAAGCTGTGATCACCTGGGCTCCCAGCACCCTACTTTCAGGCCTCCTCAAATGCTGGATGTTGGTGATTGACATAACTGGGGGTTGCAAGGCTGGCTGGGAGCCCAGCACACACCACATGGTAGCTGGTCTTACAGTGATGCTTTTAAAAACGTTCTAGTTTAAAGGTAAGTCAACCTTTAAACTTCAAGTCCCACCCCACAGGTGTGTTAAGGTGGCAGTACAGCAGCCTCCACTCTTCCCAGGAGACCTGTGTACACTGGGCTCCTTGGAAACCTGCCCTCCCAGACCACCCATTCCACCTAGTCCCTCTAGTAGCTCACCTTGGCAGAAAATCTTTTTGAAGACACTGGAACAAACAAAAGCATAAGAGACCATGAGATGTAACGGTCCAGCTCCTCGGTCAGGCCCCTGTGTCTACAGCCCTGACACTGACCTTCACTTGATGTGGGTGGTGGACAGGAATGGACTAGGGTTGGGGCTCTGCCTAGGCCCCAGGAAGGGTAGTGGAGTCAGTGCAGGGTGCTTAAGAATGGCAATGCTTGGGGCTGTGAGGCTATGCTGGGGGATGTACACTGGAGAGGGGCCCCAATCCATGTCCCTGACACCAGCCTTGAACCTGGGTCTCCTCAGAACAAGTGCCCCACCCCAGTAAAGCAGCGCAACCTTGCCTCTCCATAGCCCCATAGGCCTGCCTTCATCCACACTACATGTCTTTAGTCACCATGTGGGGCAGGAGGCTAAGCTATGTAGGCCAGAAGGACTTGTGGGAAAGGTCCAGAAGTATAGGCCTCTGTGTAAAGCCCGAGAATATCTCCCATCCTCAGCAGGAAATCCCTGCCTGGGGCCACAGCCATGCTCAGACAGCAGGTGACAGGGACCACAGTCACAGCAGAGGGCTTGCCCTTTCTCTAGCCACCCTTTCCATCTACTGATCAGCCGGAGGACTCAGGGAGTATTAGCACAGCTAAGTGAGTAGCAGACAACCCCCTCTCTCAACAGCTGGGGGAGGCTGCCATCTTGACTATCAGCAGGAGGCTTAGCCAGTTTAGTACCCAGGGAGGGACATGGACTCAGGGATGACTGTGTCCCCAAAAGTTACAACGACATCCTCAGCCAGGTCCCTGGGAAGGTGACTGCTTTGGAAACAAAGTTTTGTGGCTGTGGCAGACTCAAGGTGTAGGAAGCTAGCCCTGAACAGTGACTAGGGGATGGAGTGGGGGGGGGGCGGGCTGTGTGTGGTAACAAACACATGAGATCCCAGCACTTAGGAGGCTGAGGCAGAAGAATTGCTACAAGTTCAAGGCTGACCTGGACTACAAAGTGAATCTGAAGCCAGTCTGGGCTATAGTATGAGACTAAGTATGTTACTTGGGGCTGTGGGGAGAAGGGGGGAGGAGACCACTTGGCTGCTTCCATATTGCACAAAGACAGACACACTCACCTTGGAAGATGATCTTGGTTCGGTCCAGGGGGGCTACTGCTGTCTTGGCAAGTGCACCAGCCAGGGCTCCGGACAGCAGGGAGCTGAGCACTTGTCTGTGGTCTCTCTAAAACAGAGCATCAGGTCATGGGCTCAGAAAGCAAAGTGGTCAAGGCCTCACAGGGCTAGAGGGGCTGCTCACTGGAGGACCAAGACCCCAAGAAGTACCAACTCCCTGCCTTAGCCTAGGCTCACAGACACATGCCATCACAGTTCCATGTGGTTTCTGGGGGTCTGAAGTCAGTTCTTCATGCTTGACAAACACTTCTTTACTGACTGAGCGATCTCCCCCAGCCTTTTTTTCTTCCTCCTTTTTTGTTTTGTTTTATTTTGAGACAGAGTCCCTCTGTGCAATCATGGCTGTCCTGGAACCTGCTTATGTAGACCAGGCTGGCTTCAAACTGACAGAGATCCTCCTGTTTCTGCCTCCTGAGCATTAAGGGCATGTGATCATGTCCTCCCCATTTTGAGACAGGATCTTGCCCCATAGCCCAGACTGTTCTAAAGCTTGCGATCCTCTGCCTCAGCCACCCAAGTGTGCATCACCATCCCTGCCCCCTCTCTTACTTTCCCCATTCACCTCAGTGTCACTTGAAACCCTGCTTGGCCTTGTGTAGTTACCCTCTTGGGGCTAACTAACCCCTGTAAGTTGTCCTGAGCTGTCCTTCCAACTTGCTGGTTTTCACAACTCTCATGTGCAATCTCTGGCCCCTCATTTCCACCCTTGTTTGTATAACTGCAGCGTGGCATTTTGAAGCACACCCTTTTTTCTTTTCTTTTTTGAGATAGGGTTTCTCTATGTGGCCCTGGCTATCCTGGAACTAGTTCTGTAGACCAGGATGGCCTTGAACTCAAGCAATCTGCCTGCCTCCCTGCCTCTGCTGGAATTAAATGTATATGCCACCACTGCCCAGCACTGGAAACAAAATTTGGAGCTGAGATCACAGGGTGCACACTATGCCCAGCCAGTAATTAGCCCCTCCATAAGAGCAGAACAGTACCAAGCAATGGCTAGCAGGCAATGCTGGGGATTCAGTGGCCAACAGGGAGAGATGTTGAGAGTTCAGTGGCCATCAGGGGGTGATGTTGAGACTTCAGAGGTGATGGGGGGGAGGGTAATACTGGGAGTCCAGTGGTCAGCAGGGGTCAATGTTGGGGGTCAGCAGAAGACAATGTTGGGGGTCCAATGACCAGCAGGGGGCAATGTTGGAGGTGGTGAGTGGTGACTGAGGGAGTTTACTGGTAAAGGTACCTTCAGTAGGCCCCTGGTAGGGGAGCAGAAGCTTCCCCGAGGGTTTCTGGAATGCTTTACATTCTATCAGGCAGTCAGCTAGCCTCTTAAGAACCATGACTCAGTACCCCATTAGTGACTTCCAAGCTGGCCCTTCCCAAGTGCCTCCTACAACCCAGGGAAAGGTCAGGAGGACCACAGGGCACTGCCAGATCAGATACAGACCCCATGGATTTTGTGATTCTTGGTGTAGTGCCTGCCAGGCCTAGTGATGCCCACTGGCTGTGTCAGTCTGTGTTTTGGGTTCAGTATGACATCCACTGGCAGCAAATGTCCACAGGGAACAAGGGTGGCCCAAGCTGACTGTTTTGCTGTTGTCAAAGTTTTTGAGATGGGTTTTTGCTTTTCAGCCCAGGTGAGCTGGGAACTAATAATTCTCTGGCCTTAGACTCCTGAGTATTGGGATGACAGATGCACTCTAGCATGCCTAGCTGCACTCACTTCAACTGTTCTGCTGTTCCTACTCTCCAGTGCCTCCCACAGTTATGCATGAGGCTTTGGCCTCTTGCCAGATGTTGGGCCTGGTTGGATCCATACATCAACTAGGCTTTGATGATGCATCAGGCAGCAGGCATCTTCTTGTGATACCTCATGGCCCTTGCTCACAGTAAGCACAGATAGAAATGATACATGCTATGCAGGGGGTGTGAGGATGGTAAGGACCGTACTGTGCTCTCCTGACCCAGTGAGGACCCCAGAGATTGTCCTATAGCAATGGTTCTCACAAGGGTCACCTAGGACCATCAAAAACCACAGATATTTATAATTCATAACAGTAGTGCAATGAAAACAATTTTATGGTTGGGGTTCACCACAACATGAGGAACTGTATTTAAGGACTGCAGCAATAGAAAGATTGAAAAACAATGTCCCACAGGGAGGTAAATGCAGTACTTGCCTTTGAGGAGACAGCCCCAGACAGAACAGTTTCAGCATCTTCACGCAGGCGCACAGAGCCTTCCTGCACACCATTACCCATCCCAGGTGTGCTGGCTAGTGGGAGACTCAGTCCTGAGGAATGAGAAGGGCTGGATGAGATGAGCTAGACTCAGTGGGATGGTGACTGTCCAATCAAGGGTACCTTGCTGTTGACTTCCGAGGCTCACCTAGGTCAACTCCAATGGCCTTTACTTTATTTGACTTTCTATTCCCAAGAGGAAGAAGATGCCTTTGGTCAAATTCTAAGGTCACTGTGCCCTGGCTCCATTTTTTGTTTGTTTGTTTGTTGTTTTTCAAGACAAAGTTTCTCTGTAGCTTTAGAGCCTGTCCTGGAACTAGCTCCAGGCTGGTCTCAAATTCACAGACATCCACCTGCCTCTGCCTCTTGAGCGCTGGAACTTAAGGCATGCACCACCAACGCATCATAACAAACTTACTTGTACATGACTACCACAAACAGCCTGTTTTTCTGAAGTAGTGCTAGCAGATCAAAAAGGGTAAGAGGCTGGCTTAGGTCACACAGTGGGGAGGGAAAAAGTAGGACTTTTTGACCATTACTAGCATGGCAGGGAATGGAGGTCAGGGGACCTATATGCCCAGAGCCACCTAGTATCAGCCCCATCACTAGCCAAGGGCTCTCTTCAACATCAGCTGCCTGTTCTCTGCACAAAGAAGTTAGGTGAAGGAAGGCCTTGCTCCCTGCATTCTCCCCTGAAGAACTAGCCCAGTGCAACCACCTGTGCTCAGGCCCTACCTTCTCAGGTCATTGGTCCTTAAGGGGAAGCAGGGATGAAGGAACGATAGAGATGCTGCTATGTACCATTGTTTTTTGATGTCTCAGAATTCATAGCAGTAAGGAAACAGCACTGGCTGTTAAACCACACTGCCCTCAATGTGGGCCTTAGTCCAGGAGAAACAGGGCCAGCCCACTGTGGGTGGGACCGCCCCTAGGCAGATGGTCCTGAGTGCTATAAGAAAGCAAGCTGAGCAGAGCATTCCTTTAATCCCAGCACTCAAAGGCAGAGGCAGACAGATCTCTGTGAATTTGATGCCAGTCTGGTGTACACAGTGAGTTCCAGGACAGCCACGACTACATAGTGACACCCTGTCTTGAACAAACTAAAAAAAGAAAACAAAAAGACAGGAGTTTAGGGGTATACCTCCGTGGTAGAGCTTTTCATGTAGTGATAGACTGAGAGAGGAAGAAAGAAGGAAGGAAGGAAGGAGGGAGGGCGGGGAAGGGAGGAAGGAAAGGAGGGAGAAGGGAAGGAATGAAGGAAGGATGGATGGATAGATGGATGGGGTCAGGAGGTAGGGAATAGATCAGGCACTATCTTTGAATCCCAGTGAGGACTCTGAACGTTGAGTCTGGCCTGAGTCCAGATGAGCCCACTACAGAGCTCTACTTGATGACACAGGTATATCTGATGAAAACAGAAAAAGTCATGAGGTCAGCACAGCTGTTAGACAAAACCCAGCAAAGCTCAGACACATGGTAGCTGCTGTACCATCTTTGGTTTTCATCTCCACCTGCTGCATACTTGGGAGACTTTTAGTATTTGTACAATTTGGGAATATTGGGTTAATGGAAATTTTCTTATGAATCATTTATGCCTTCTCTAAAGAGCACTGCTTCTAAGTTTCCCCAGGAAAGTCCTGAACACACCACCCTCCCACTTTTAGGGAGACATGCTCATCTACTTAAAGGTCTTCCTTCAAGTATGAGATATTCTTGAATCATGTGCCCCTGTACTTACACAGGAACAAGATAATCAAAACAAAGTAAACTGAAAAAGGTCAACAAGATTCGGTGGGCTAAAGAAGTTGGCCACAGTTCAGATTGCAAGCCTCTTCCCTATACACTTAGGCGATGATGCAGCATAGATAGTAACTAAGTTAGATTAGCTGTGTCCTCCACAGAAATTTATATAGATGGCCAAAGAATGATGTGGAAAGATGATAAAAGTATTCTATAAGGATATAAAATGCAAACATTGTATTGTGCCAGAATTTGAATAACAACTACAGCACCTTTTGCCTGCGGATATTTCTTGGGCACTCTGACCATTAAGAGTTAATAATACACTGCTTGGGACATGGCAGTATGCCCAGTATGACTTGAAGATTGTTTTGGTCTAGTGTCCTTGTACCCACAAAAGCTACCAGCCTGAAAACAGGCTGTCATATGTCTCTAGATTCTTAAAAATTGGGTTATGGGGTTGAGTAAAAATGGTTATGAAAGATAACTGTTTATCAATGACATCAAAACTTGAAGGAAAATGATTGAATATAACATTTCTGTTCTGTCACAGTTTATTAATGATGACTAAAAGATGAATAAGATAAAATGTTAAACACATGTCCAAAAACAAAAATGATATGACCTATGTTTTGGAACAACATGAATGTGTCCCTGCTTATTGAATTCTGTATAAATAAAGAAGCACTCAGGCTGCTAGTCAGTCAAGCAGCAAGATTCTCCTGACTACCATGGCCTGGCTCACTTCTTTCCCTCACCAACTCCTTACATCCTCTTCTAGGACCTGTCCACCACTGGGGATGGCTCCTGGCAGACATAGTTGATGAGTTAGAAAGTTATGCTGCTTATAAAGCCAGGAGAATCCTAAAAACTCAGCCCAGTCTCCAACTCCAATGATACTACCAGCCCCATGAGGTGGTGATATCACCCACTCTGCAGGTCTGTGGTACCTAGCCTGGGCACCTATCTGTTTGCACATCCTGGAGTCACAGCCCCTCAGGACATTAGCACTCCCTCTCAGGGCCCAACCTCTTTCTTCAGCTCATGAGTTTCCCAGGAGTAACGGCAGCAGCCCAGGGTTACTTCTGATGTACTCCAGAGGACGAGGCAGGAGAATCACACAAGCTCCAGAAAAGTCTGTGCTGCATAGTGAGACCTTGTCTCAAAAACAGAAAAACAAAACAAGTGAAAGAAAGCTATTTCTGTCAATATTTACCCTGACAATGGCCAGGCCAAAGCTCAGCACATAGCCCAGCAACCCAGGGCTCATTCCAGAACAGTTGACTTGCAAATTCAGTTGAGTATTCCTCCAAGTCAGTATGGAACTGAGCTACCTCTCAGGGATCTGTGATTTGTCAGAATGCTGTGCTCATAAACCAGCCAGCCAACATGCAAAGTGGGCTTATATGAGGGGCTAGGGAGGGCAGGGCACTGATGGGAGCCACTGCAGATCAGTGGACAATGTTTGCTGAGCTCCACCTATAGCGCCTTCAAAAAAATTACCAGGGAACTGGACATTGGTGGCACATGCCTTTAATCCCAGCACTGGGAGGCAGAGGCAGGCAGATGTCTGTGAGTTCTTAAGTCCAACCTGGTCTACAGGGCTTGTTCCAGGACAGGCTCCAAAACAATGTAGAGAAACCCTGTCTCAAAACAAAACAAAACAAAAAAAACCAAACAAACAAAATTACCAAGGGGCTGGAGAGATGGCTCAGTGGCTAAGAGTGCTAGCTGACTGCTCTTGCAGAGGACCCCAGTTCGATTTCCAAGCAGCCACATGTTGGCTCACAAACATCTGTTTGAGGGGACTGGACACCCATTTCTGGTCCTGGTAGGCACTGCACACATGTGATGCACAGAAGAACACTCATACAAATAAAAATAAAAGCAAATAAAATTACCATGAGTAAAGAAACTAAAACTAGCAGGGAAGTGATGGTCCATGCCTTTAATCCCAGCACTCAGGTGGCAGAGGCAGGTGAATTTCCGAGTTTGAGGTGAGCCTGATCTACAAAGCAAATTCCAGGATAGCCAGAGATGTTACACAGAGAAATCTTGTCTTAAAAAATCAAAAAGAGACTAAAACTAGGGTCTAGGCTATACCTCTGCTGGTAAAGTGCTTGCCCAGAGAAGCCAGGAAGCCATGGTTTCCAAACCCAACGCCACATAAAAACAGGTGCCGTGAGACATACATACCTGTCACCTCAGCACTCAGTAGGCTCAGACAAGGGGTTCATCACAGGTTCAAGGACAGTCTGGGCTGCCTCATATGAATAAATAAATAAAATGAAAATGAATGTGTGAAATAAAGGCTAAAAAACAATGGCAAATGAAGACGGACAGTCTCTGAGTCAGGCCAAGAATGCTGTGGGCTAAGTTTCCGATGTTTGTGGCTATCGATATCGAGTGACTGGTCTGGTGACCTGGCTGCACTTGCAGCACCTTGACAGTGGTGCCTTTGAGGTAGTATGGTCACAGCAGGGCACATGCAGAGCACTAAGGGATGCATCCTTCCTTCCGCAGGGCTTTGTGCTAGCAGTTTCCTAGGAGACCTGGCAGAGTGCACACTTATCCTCATCAACCCCTCTCCTCAAACTGGGTTTCTGAGGCCTTTGGTGAAACTCTTTACCCAAGGTTGCCCTCTGTGTGGAGGGGTGGGAAGGGGTGATATGAGACACATATTTCAAACATGGCACAGGAGCAGCTACTGCATGTTACATGCCTGACCTGCTCTATCTAATCTGTCTGATCTGAAGGTGGCTAGGTCTGCTTTACAGGTGGGGAGTTGGGGAGAAAACTCTGATAGAGCATATGCCTAAAATCCCCCAGTGAGGAGCTGGAGGTGTGGCTTGATGGTAGAGCATCTACCCAGAATTCTCCAATGAAGGGAGTGATGGGGTAATATCCTAAACCATGTATGGGTGCCCTCTGATCTCAACACCCCACTGCCAGCACTCTAAAATCTACAAAAAACAAAAACAAACAAACAAACAAAAAAAACCATTTCCTGTAGGTGGGGAGGCTGTGACCTGTTGGCCCACAAAGATGACAGTGACAATAACTCCAGGTGTTTACTCGTACGTATACATGGTTGCTCACTTGCACTCTATTGAGGAATCTCCCTTATCTTTTGGAGATGCTCAGTCAAGCCTAGCACAGGACTCCCAAGCTGCAGAAGATCCTTTCCCTAGGGAGCCCAGATCTCAAAGCTGTCCTAGAAAACCATGTGTTCCTTAATTAAGCCTTCACGTATCCCAGAGGAATAGGCTCAGGGTGGGGTTAAGCATCATTCCCAAGACATAACATAACCCTGTCACAGGCAG